AATATATAATTAAAACTAATATTATATAAATTTTTAGAAAAATATTTTGATTATTTAAAAAAATAAATGAAAAGTAATTTTTTAGTTAAAAAATTTTAAACATTATAAAAAAAATGCCTTACAATTTAAGAGATAATAAAAATATGATTATTTTATTTAAATTATAATTATAATAATAGTTGATAAGTTTTTTATTAATGAAAGCTAAAATTTATATAACAATGAATGATATTTTTTTTTGTTTATTAAAGATAAGACAAATTTAATAATGATTAAAAAAAACTTTATTTATTAATTTTTTTTTGTTTTTTATATATAATAATAATTACAAATACTAATTAAACTAAAATTACTAAAATTTTATGATATAACAATTGTTAAATAGTTTTCATATTTCTTTTTATTACATAATTCTTAATTTATTAAATTGATCTATAGTGCTATAATCGATTCTTTTATGATCTAATCCCATAATACCATTGCAATTGTGTTATAATTCAACCTTTTTTGACTTATACTAGTTTTTTTATCATATTGTTGTATTCAATATTATTAGTTTCTGCAACAATATTATAGAGAACTCTAAATTTAATATTAGATCATTACTTTTTATCATATAAAATTAAAAAAGTTTAAAATCTGATTATTTTATATTTTTAATGATTAGTATCAAAATATTTCATTTATATATAAAGCAGAAATATACTGTATACAAATTCCAAAATAATTTGTGAAAATACCTTATACCTAGTTTTATTTTAAGGTCTTTAATTTAGAATATATATATATATAATTATTAAAGATAATATTTAAGTATTATAAAATTGAAATTTTATAATCTTTGATTTTATTAAAACAGTAGATGCTCTTCTAAATGTAAAATTTGTCAGGACACATATTTAAATATTTTTAATAAATAAAATGAGATTTATTTTTAAAGATGCAAGAAATTTTTTTGTTTTTTATAATTTTATCTTTTTTTTTTAATATTACATTGTAAATTTCCATTGACTTTGACCTTTTCCTTATGTTCACTAGTAATTTTTAGTATAAATTAACTAAGGTTTTTCATTATATTCCAATAATCACTGGAATATAACATCAACTTTTTTTTTAACCTGACAGTTGTTCTTCTTATAATAACATGTACGAATTTGATTATTATTATGGAAATGTAATGACAAGTCTGTCACTAAGGATGACAAGACTTCTTGTAACCACAGATAGGGCGAGTAATATTAAAATTAATGAGGCGTGTTTGATTTGGTCGAGTATTTTTTATTATTTAAACTCGGGTTGTTCTTAATTTTTGTTTTTTCTTTTTATATACTCTCAAGAGAATGGGTAAGTTTTGACAAAGTTAAGTCCAATTCTTTTTCACAATTTCTCCCTTCCTTCTCTACAATTAGATAATCGTGCACGTCAACCAAGAAGAGGCTTCTCGCGGGATCAGTCACGTGACATGCGTCGCGTCCCAAACCCTGTTACACTATCTTCAGATTTGTGATCATAATTTGAATTTTGTTTTTGCATTTCCGATTTAATCCTTGTTTATATGCTTCTAATGTACAATACAATAATTTTCAATTCGGTCAAGAGGGATAGGATTGCGAGAATGCAACAAAAGCCTTTTATATGCTCTCCGAACTAGACATGGTAGCTTCGTTATAATTGGATTATAGTCAGGATAAAACATTTATATTAGTTTGCGCGCAAAAAAGTTTGCAGGCAAAATTAATAAAATCTAACTATCCTCACTTATAACTTTTACTGGTTGACTACTTCCTACATCACGCATACTAACTTCACTGTCATTTTTTGACGCGGATATATTATTCGCCAAATCAGATGAAGATTTGTATGTCGCATTATTTAAATTTCCACTCACATCATCCGCATTATGACCCGAATCTCCGCCTGTATTATTTACAGCCAGAGGCCTACTTACGACGTTATTAGTATTATCTCGATTAATATATTCTCTCCTATTACTGAAATCTCTATGGTTGGGAGAAGCTGAACGATCCCTTTGAATGGTAGTGAACTCACGACGGCTTGAAATTGATGTCGCTCTGTATGTTGGTGGTGTACGATTAAGATAACGTCTTCTTGTAGATATATTTTCATTGTGCAACCTGTCAAATGGGGTTTCTATGTTTTCACGTGAATATAAGTATGAGTTGAAACTCAAGAATCTATCTCCTCAAAACCTTGTTTCTTCACTTACCGGGCCTATCCCAAAAACGAGTACTAAATTCTTCAAAATATCGTTCACCAGCCCTACTTCTCTTTCCGGTTTTACTTCCAGCTATATATAGACACATTGACTTGAAAAGTGTAGTGGCGTAAGCTAGCCTTCCAGCCAAAAAATATTATTATAGCGGGATGACATGGATATAGTATATACTTACGTTGTAATCTCTAACAAGATTTTGGAATCTATTTTTACATTGATGTCCCGTGTAACTGGTTCCGAATCGGTCATTGATTGTATTTGCCATGCTATTCCAGAAATCTACCCTACTACTACCAGGGATATCATGATACTCGGTATTTTTGTTTTTTCTTTCGTTTATTAATAAACGTAATTGATCATCAGTCCACATATCGATTATAAAAAAATTGCGACTCAACAGGGTGCACTTATATTCATTAGCATTTACATGGTGGTTATATATGAAGAGTTTATCGTGCCTACATCGCACCTTCAACGCACCTTCAAACTTACATCGCATCGCACCTATATGAATCTTAATTATATAGATATAAGAGGGAAAAAATTGCATATCTCGGATTTGCTGATCTTGAACTTGGCGATCTTAAATAGTGGATCATGAAACCTCGAAAGTTGACGATTATTAAACCAGATTAGCATTATGTCCGAAACGGTACAAAGAGAGATGAATTCGTATATTCTTAATGAGTTTCAGGATCAACAAAAAATATACTGTATATTTAATATAAATAACCAATTATATACAAAGCATCTTCACTTCACGAGACATGTACAGTATCTGAAAATTTCAGATTGAACGTCTGATTTTCTATAAGTTCGCCGGTACTTAAATTGTAACAATATAAAATTCATCCTTGTCATCATAAAAACCACAATACCCTTCACCGTTGCTATCATTATTTAAGGAATCCTCAGCACAAGAGTTATCGAGTACATTTACCTCTTCATCCGGTAAAGATTTGTTGTCTGTACTTATCATATCTTCCAAATTAGATATATGAGATGATGGATAGGAGTGGCTGAAACGTCTAACTCCGTTTCTGGTAAAGATTCTTATTTACAATAGTTTCTAAATTATTTATTCAATCATATACGCGTTACAATTTGTAACGCCGATCATATATGCATTTGAATTTTTTTAGGAAAACAGCATAACATCTTAAATCTGGTTGTCAGTTAAACTCAAAACTGCATTTTTTACTACATGTTATTTTCCATTCCTATTTCTATAAGTAGCGTACAGATCTTTTTTTGCTCTGAATGTTCCTTGACATTGTTGTCGTCACCGACGAGTCTGTCACTAAAACGGCTCACTCTTCGCGTGTCGATAATCCGAACGCTTGGATTTTGGCACTAAATAAGGTAAAGATTTATCTCTGAGACGGGTTATTATTTGGCCGACTTTCGTGCACCTGCTAATCTCTTCTTGACCGTCTTTCCCTAGGCGCGTCTCAAGACAAGTGTCATTCTCTACATGGGGCAAAGGTAACTCGGTTTCTTCTCTTAAAGTTTACTTTATTGTAGTGGCGTTGCTCTTAGTTTATATCTTATGGGTGTATGCGTTATTGTGCGAAGTTGTAGCATTTATTTAATAAAGTGAGAAAGAGCGAAAAGCGCGTTCCAAAACTCTAAACTCGAACTAATTGACTATCCGTTACAAACCATGGAAAACTATCCTATTTATATGCTTTGTTAACGCGTCCACTCAGTTTTATTCTATTGCCAATTATTACATCATTCTGCCGTTATTGTTACTATTGTTACGCGACGCGCTTCAATGTCGCGTTCCCATCCCTATTATTCTCACAACATAAATTCCCATCACTGATGTCTGTTGTCGTGGGTAAAAAGAGGGTCGATAACGCGATACACGTCGCGTTACGTAATTAGTGTGGAGCAGAGAATCTTATGTAATCATACGGCGTAAAATGATTAACGTAGCATGTAAACAATCCTATCATGTATAAATATAACCGCCGAACGAACCGAAATAAAGAAATTAGCATTTAGGTAGCTTAAACCAAGAAACCACTCTAAAAGTCAAAACTCTTATTTATGTTAATTATTGCCGCCATTGTTTACACGCCCATAACTTGTCCATGTGACTGTACGAACCAAAGTTTGACCAGAAGGATTGGGAAAGTTCTAGCAAGCGATTGGACTTTTGACACCTGTCAAGAGTGAAACGTTTAGCGAGAGAAAGTAAAGTTACGACCAAATCTAAACACGCCTTAGGAGTTAAAATTCTTGAGTGATATCTTACGCTTACCTTATTACTCGGTACATCATTACGCCATGATTGTGGAAGTTTAGAGACCAACCCACCGATTAGCCCACGACACTGGGAGAAGCGCTTTTATCTTATTAGAAACCAATGTCCTTGCTGATTGGTCATCAATTTTATTTATACATTTAATATTCTCGACTCGATCCTCATATGCTTTATAGTAGCTATACCAGCATAAAATTTCTTTTTGTCAAACTTTCATCACCATAATAAACAAATAGGCTATATTTATGCCGTAATTTTGCTAGATCCTGTTACAATTACTTCTAGACAATTCAGGAATTTGTATATCAAATATTTCACTAACTTTGTTATTATTTTCTTCAATGAACACAGCCAAATCGTTCCTTAAGTCTTAATCGACTCTTTTGTTAGATCTATTTTTTATTTGATTAGGAGCAACATCAGAATCAAAAAGCATTATCAGATATACTGTATTAGATGCCAGAGTATCGTTAGAATTTTTCATTCGGGTATTGACTGATTCCTTTGGTATCATCATCTGATTTAACAATCAAGTTGTTCTTTTCATCGGTTGCGATTGCTTCTGTTCTAATTTCGCGAATCTAACTTTAGTTTAGAATTTTCAACAACAGTATCTTTACCATTCTACTTGTGTTTCATAATCCTATATTTATGTTCTTCCAAAGCATGCTATAACTTTACGGTCATCAGCTAAAGTTCAATTTTCTCGGCCTCAACTTGGAAAATTTTCCAAGTTCAGAAATTCGAAATTCTCATTTCTAAGATTAGTAATCTCGTCTAAACGTTTCGAATGTAGTTCTTTCAAAGAATCAATTACGGATTGTTGGTTTATAATTGTTTTAATTAAGATATGGATATATCCAAAAGGTCATTTATTCCTACCCATAATTGTGTTTCTCCGAGCTATATTAAGATTATCAGCTTTGGTCAGGATTATATACATAGATATTGTCAGAGGGTAAAATTGTGACGCGACGCCAGTCACATGACTAATCGCCGCGATAGTGCTGCGAAGGACCGTTCCTATCGTGGTACTTGACGTAGTGTGACAAAAGTACGTAAGCAAGAAATGATGGGGAAGTGGATAAAATAGTAGTAGGGAAGCGTTCTAGGAAGTTAGACAATGAGGGGAGGATTGTGAAAAACGGTTAAGTAATGTAATCCATTGTGATCGAGTATTATGTAATAGGAGGGAATCATGAGAAGACATTAAATAATCGATGTTGCCATATTTTAAAATGTAGAGTCGTCCCAATTAAAATTTATAAAAAGATGCAAGTAAAGATAAATAAAGAACAGTGAATTATCTCTTACTCAGCCAAATCGAACACGCCTAAAAGTCACCAAATTCCTTACCTCATCTACGGTTACGTGACACTGCCCCACTTTAGCGATAGACTCGCCGGTCGACCGTCACAATATGCTTGAACAAAGTGATTACTTTTATATATTTGTAGCAACACAAGAATTGAATAAATCATATTGGAATGTAAAACGCCTCAATGAATAGCTAAACTATCACATTAAACTATTATCAATGGCTCACCTCCTTCAAAAGATATTGACAAACTTTAGTTAATGCAGTCAACATTGCCTCCCTCCATCTGGATCCGCAAGATCATGACCACCTTTGCTATTATTTTCTCCAGGCCATCTTTGATTTCAACCAAATTTTTCTATTATAAACCTTCAACAAGCTCTTTCCAATATTCCGTGGGAATATTGGCCTGGTAAAATGGGGTATATGTAAAGATAAACGAGCAGAAAATAAGACCTTATCGGAAACATTACCAGAATCTCGTGTATTTTCATCTACACAAACAAGTATTTCGGCAGCAATTTGCGTTTCTCCATATTCACTTATAGAATTGACATTTCGTAAGCTTTATCCTTTCAAAAACCTATTGAAGTAATAAGATATTGCCTTACCAAGCAATCAAAAAAATACGTACATTTGTGATAACATAATTTTCTTTTTTTAATCACAAATTCTGTATTTGTCGAGACATACGGCTCATTGATCATATACAGTTTATTTGGTGATTGTAGTCTGATTTGAAAAAAGGAAATCTAGGAAGCCATTAAATAAGATAATACTTTCTCAAATTACCACTATATCTTCAAAGGATAATCATTCGGTCCGGAAACACGAAGCATATCAGTACAGGACTCGGGTATTTCTCGTGACGATATGCAATTTATCAAAGAATGATCATTCATTTCTCGAACTTTGAATTCTACTTTGTCGAGCGTGTCTCCATATATCTTGGGACAAACGTACTGTTCTCAGTGACTCCGCATCATAATTTGTAAATTTATTTGCTTGAATATTGATGTTGTAACACGGAAAAGAGAGATGCGACTTATGCTGCATTCCGGGTTTATCCACGATATTGGGAAGAAAGACTGCAGTAGCAAGTACAATGAGTGCGATAGAAACAAGCACGAGCTTGGAAAAAGGGAGAAGAAAGAAGAATCGCGACACAATCGCAATAGCTCCACGTGACTGGGTTATGCGAGGATCGAACATGGCACTATGAGGCCAATTAATGGGATTATGTAATAGAAGTAGTGTGAAAATCAAATAACAAATGTTTCGTCATAAGATTTTTCATAGTTTTACTTAATTTGTAATTATCATTTTTATTATGTAATGAGGTTGTAAAAATGTATAAAAGAAAAGAGAGCATTAAATAAAGGAAGCCAAGTTATTATTTCTCGGCCATAATCAATTCCGCCTCACCATAAACACTTACTATCGTTACGCGAATTTAACTTCCCATTAGCGACAGACTCGCCGATCACCGTGACAATGTAATTCAGGGTTTTAAGAAAGTTTCTGACAATTTTTCGCGATTTATTGAAAGGTGAAAAAAATTTAACGAATAAAGACATTGAAAAAAAAAATAACATCGAGTCAATTGCATGCAGAAAGCAAATTGAATCTCTGAAAAGTTTCTTGGAAGATTTTTATGAAGGCAATAAATTGGATGACATTCACTTCTGCAAAGCTTCACTATGGATTTTCTTATAACAGTTCCTAATTCTGGCTTCAATGTTTACGAATTTTAAAATTTTATTTTTCTATTTAAAAAAAA